TTGTAATTGTAATTGTAATTGTAATTGTAATTTAATAAATTTATATGCCGCCCAATCCCGTAGGACTCCGGGCGGCTTACAAAAACAAGACTAAAAGATAAAAAGTTAAAAATAGGAAGAGAGGAAAAACAAATTTAAAAGCAACGCACCATACACTCAATCTTGGTGGGGCCGGACCTCGTTCGTGAGGTCAACAGCCCCGGGCCTGTCGGAATAGCCAGGTTTTAGTGGCTTTTCAGAAGGCCGAGAGAGTGGGAAGGGTCCGGATCTCTACGGGTAGATCGTTCCGCAGGGCCGGAGCAGCTACAGAGAAGGCCCTCCCCCGAGGGGTCGCCAGCCGGCATTGGTCATTTTAAGACATGTACACTTCAACTCCCAGAATTCCCTGTGCTGGCTGGGGGTTGAAGTCTATACATCTTAAAGTGGTCAAGTTTTGAAAACACTGGTCTGGATGCTCTCAGCTCTGTCCTGCTGGATGGATGGGGAGAGCACGCATTATGGATTTGTAATTCAACACCTCTTGAAGGCCCCAGATTTAGGAACAATGGTATTGATAAGTAAGAAAGGATTTTGCCTGGACACATCACCTCTTGCTTATGCCTTTTTTAAGTAATTGTTTTCTGCTTTTTTTTACCCTGAGCCAAGGATGGGCAACAATGGCAACTTTATGACTGGTGGACTTTAACACCAGCATGGCTGGCTCAGGAATTTTGGGAGTTGAAGTCCAGAAGTCATAAAGTTGCCATTGTGCCCCATCTCCCCTACTCCAATGATCCAGGGAGAATTGCTTGTTTATAAAGGGAGTTTATGGCAAAATTGGTGAATGGTTCTTCGCTTTTTCCTTTCTTTCTTAAGAAACAGTGCTGCTGTTTACTAATTTATCAAGTTATTGCCAATATTTTTGTCCATGTACAGCTCTAGAAACCTCTTCCTTAGTAATAAAGAGTATGGCATGAATATAATCTGTTAATCTCAAATATGTCTATTCCTGAAATAGACAAGCTTCTTTATATATTAGTTGTGTAATTTTATTCATTGATGTCTGTTGGAAATGCACATAATATACCATAGTTTCTTTTTAAGTACTGGAGCATTTTTTGTACTGAGCACAGAGGAGGAAAATTATTTGGATTCATCAGTCACATAATTGCCTGCATCTAAAAAGTAATATTGCAAAATGAAAGTATGCATTATTTATACACTTAAACTATTTAATTTTGCTTTGCTTCAGGTGTTTCTAAGGCACATAAACTTAGGCTGATGCTTCAGAGAAGAGAAGGTAAGGTTGTTTTAAGATGATACAGCTTCTCTTACAGTTGGAAAAAAATAATTAAAAATAAATAACTACATATTCAGCCCGGAGTTGGGTTCCTACCGGTTTGGACCGGTTTGGCTGAACCAGTAGTGGTATGCTGGTCTGGGTCGCAGAACCAGTAGTGAATGTTGCCTGGCCATGCCTCTGAACCAGTCCGCCCGCTTGAACCCTTGCCCTGCCTTGCCTTTGCTATGTGCATCCACTGCCTCCTCCTGCCTACACACAGGTAAGCATTGCATGGAAGAAGGGGGTGGCGGCAGGAGAGGGCAGTGGTGGCGGCAGCAGTGGCAGCAGTGGTGGGCAGTGCCTCCGTCCACATCCCAGCTGCCGGGGAGTTTTCCCACATGGCTTTGGCCAGGATACGGCAAGCAGCAGCCCCAAAAGCCAGCAGGGTCCCCAGCGCCACAGAACAGAGTCAGAACCACCTCTGCCAAAGGCTCCCTGCCCTTCAGGTGTAGTGCCCACATCGGCTGCCTCTAATGTGCTCATGAATAAACTGCAGATTAGAGGCAGCAGTAGATCCTGGCTTCCTTGCTCAACTGTTCTCTCTCTCTCTCTC